TTGTACCTCATGTGCGATTAATAAAAACTTTTAGTGTTCTACTCAAACTCTCAAGTTATTTTTATAAGAAGTACCCAATTTTCCTTACATCAGCGACTTATACACATACAAGACACTTATATAAAAAAAATATTGGAAATAAAACCAGTATTTTTTCAACTAGGTTTTCTCATCTTCAGCATTCTGTTACTTACAACCATGTAACAATGGGCCAGCGAGAAGTTTAATTTTATAGTGAATTGTAACAGGACATCTAAATTTATGCAACTGCATTCTGGAAAGATGCTATTTTTTAAGTTAATAATAACACAAGTAGTTATGCAGCTCTTACTAAATAAATTTACTTGCTTAAAATTTACATAGAAATGTAAAATGTTTATGTAAGCTACACTTTCCTTTTCATAAATATCATTAAATATTTTAGAAACAGTGGGCAATCCTTAATATACATTCGGTTTATTTTCAATTATGTTCATTGATATTGAAGATCCTTTTCATTATTAGTAAGACTCTCTGACTGAATCAGATATTAAAGATGTTTCTTCTGATTCAGGCAAAACTTCACTATCTTCAAAACTTTCAGGAGGTTCTGGATAGTCTTGCAGAAGGATTTTTAGGTTATACTCTTACAGTAGGCTCATTTTTAATTTTCCGAAATTGCTGCTGCATCTTAAAAAGCTAGTGTATTTTTAAAATAGAGACGAAAAACAAATTTTTAGAAGAAATTTTTTATGTTTTCTATTTTTATTTTTTTTTTGCAGAATCAGTGAGCTGGCTGATGAAAATTAAGACATTTGTATAGTAGTAGCGACTTCTTAATAAGTAAAGGTTTATCCATCATTTAAGAAATGAACAGTTTTCAAAATCATCTGGTATCTAAATAAAAATCGTTACTACAATGGTAGCTAATTTTCAATAAAACATTTTTATTTTAATAAAGAGTAAAGAAACAAAACCTTTAAAAATTTAAATATTTCTAATAATTAATGTGAATCTTTATCACATCTTGGGAGGAAACACTTTTTTGTATTCATAATATTTATAAAAACTTACAAAATTAAACTAATAAAGATTTTCATATCCCAAATAAATTATTGAATGGCACAACAAACAAATTCTTGATTGACAGTATTGACAGATGACACATACAGTGCTGTCGCATTGCTATTTTTTTGTTTATTACGTGACGTTTTTTAAAACAACAAAACTATAAATATGGTGAAAGTTTAAACACAAATATTACTTTTAAGAACATTTGATATTATATATATATAAAAGATATTTGCTTAACGATATTCTAGAAGTCAAAATTAAGAAGGTGGTAACAAACGAACGTATATTACTTCTCGTATATCGTCTAACCGGCAACGTTGTGTCGCTAGTTCCTATTGGTTTATTCCCAGTATACGTCATAAATTTAAAAAATTAATAACTCTGGCAACTGATAAAAAAAATTCAATATTTTTGAACTTGCCCCATTGTTGTGCCAGCCAATAAGCGAAAAGGAAAAAAACGGTTAAAATATCATGTTTTTCGAGATCGGAAATGTTTTAAAATGCTTCGAGACCTGTATTTTAAAATATAGACCAGAGGCGTAACATACTGAAAATAAAACAATGAATTTTCATTTATCTTATTAGTACTTTAGTGATATTTTTTGGTATAAAGCAAGTTCAAAGCGTAAAAACTAAAATTAATGAGAAACAATATTAATGACAAAAATGTCCCATTTATGCGTATTTGTTCAATATTTCAATATTTGTTATAGACACGCAAACAAGTTTTAAGTAAAAGTTAAATAGATTTGAAAAATACATACTATAAAAATATTTTTAAATATACAATGTGTTTCATTTTTACCTGGCAAATAAAAATGTATATTTCTTTAAATGTTTTAATTTTAGAATCGTTTGTAATATTCTATTCAGTTCTAGATCTTTTTAAACGTTACAGTTTGCCAAGCAATTAATATTTTTTTATAAAATTAGAGAATGATGCAGTTCCCATATTAAATTATTATACGTTAGGTACAGTTAGTTTCATTGATTTTAAAATAGTATAATATACAGACCTATAAGATACTAAACTAACAAACAGAGGTAATAAAACTTGTTTATTTTATTTTTTAAACATGTCTTAAATATGGCTAATTTTAAATTCATTTTACTCAATTTTTTCAAATGCAACATCCTGTATATTATTTTAGCATTAAATTTCTTACAAATTTGCTTATTCAACAATACCAACATGTTTGGTAATAACATATATACAGGGTGTCCCATCAAAGCTTAATTGATCGATTGCTGTTTTATTATTGGAAATACGAAGAATTTTTAAAAATAAAAGTCGTATGATCATAATTAACAATTATTATTAAATATACATGGTGGTCCATAAACGAGGTGCTTACCAAACCTATACTTTTTTAAAGCAAACCACCCTACAGGTAGTTATACATATTTGATTGTTTTTACATCGTCAAACAATTTTAATTGACTTTATTTATTTGCTTTCTTGTATATAGGGTTTGTCAAAACGCGAGGTTACGATTCTCTTAATGTTTTAAATAGAATACCCGGTACTAATTTATTGGTGGTATAACATCATACAGGCTATTCCATTTAAAAAGTTGAAACAATCATAACCTCTCATTTTGACATGTTGGTATCGTTGAATTGATAAATTTATAATCAATTGTATGCTAAAATAGCATACAGGTTAAAACACTCTGTATAAAATAAAACAGTTCTATCACCACTATTCGTAAGCTAGTATCTTATTAGTCTGTATATTAAACAATTTTAAAATCAATGTACATCTACCTAAATTATGATAGTTATGTACATTACTTTAATTTGAAAAATATCGAAGGCATCTACTGTCAAAACTTTTAGTAGGATTTATAGGATTTCAGTTACGATGCTTTGTAGATAAATTAAACCAATCTAGCGTACAGAAAAAAAAAACAATTCCAATCTTCTCCTTCCTCCAATTTCTCCTTAATTCTGCCTGAAAAGGTTCCTTTTACCCTTTCGGTATACATCTTAACCGCAAATTCAGGGCATCCAGGAAATCCAAAGGATATCCAACGACCCGGAGAACTGGCATATGCCGGCTATCGGCACGTTTCCAGCTTTTCCAGATCTACATCGCCTGACCATACCATTATACAAAGTTCGGCCTGGCTGATGGAGTCTAACCTCCTAATTCGTGCAGATGGCTCTAGCCATTTTAGTTACAGCGGAAAGAGATTTCTTATATTGAGCAAAATACTATTTGTTATTTTTTTTTAATCCATTTTATAATACGAGTACTTTAAAATCATCATTAAAATACAACTCAGCACTATATTATTTAAACATTTTTATATTGAGTCTTCATGGGTAGCGGATCTCAGTATTTCGTTGGTGTAAATAAAAAAAAATAACCTTTAACACGTTTCCACCAGTACGAAAATGCAAAAAATCTCGTCTGGGCATCTGTGCGTAAATTTGAAAAGTATACTCGTATAACACGCACTAGGGATAATTTACATTGTATTGTGAATGTCAAAATACACATGAAGAGTATACAATAAATTTTATAACAATTTAACATGAATAAACTTAGCAGTACCATACAAATAACCATTATTAAAAATTTAGAAAAATGGTTCTATTTACTTCTGTTAGATCATATGGTTTAGCTGATGTGAGACATTTTTTATAATTATTTTGAACTTTGCAATTATTGATATAATATCACATACGGTAACAATGATATACATCTACTCTAATATAAGCAATCTTATTATAGTGTGGTTTTGTGAAGAGGAAAACGAAATATAGCTTTCTGTTGATTCACTAATTTACAGTACATCTGTTGCCGAAGAAATTTCAGCTGTTGCTGATCACGTATGATATGCTATTTTTAAAAATCTAATTAAAAGATTTTTATCAGCTCTAGTTTCTGAGCTTTAGCTATGTAGATATAAAACAGAAAAAAACATGTATTTACTAAGAAAAACTTTACTAAAAAAAAATAATTAATCATTGAGTTCTAAAAAACTTCCTTTTAAAGCTCTTCTCTTATGTGTAAGCTTTGGAAAATGACGTATCAGAGACCAACAATAGTCAGACATCATATTCGTGTCCCAGAAACCTTGATAGTGCTCTTCTATGACGCGTAAGTCTTGATGTATACGCTCTTCTTGCTCTTCGCTTATGTCTCCTAAATTTTCCGGAAACTTGTCCAGGTGACTATGGAGGAAGTGGAGTTTTATGCTCTTGTACTCCATTTTTTTTAATTGTAGCAGAAGGTCTTCTACAAGTTCAATGTAATTTGCAGATTTTTTATTTTCGAGAAAATTCTGCATCACAGAGACGAAAGCTGTCCAAGCCTTTAGTTCTAACTTAGTCATAGAATTAATAAATTGAGTATCGTTCGTAAGTTGTCTAATTTGGAGGGCCATCAAAAATATCGGCTTTAATCTTTTCCATAGTGAGCTGAGGCAATTTTTGGCAAATGTAAAAAAGCAGTTTCCGTATTTATCTAGTGATTTAACAAACTGTTTCATGATGTCCAGTTTTATGTGTAATGGTGGAAGAATAATTTTGTCACGAGCTACTAATGAATTCTGGACTATATTTTGCTTTCCAGGCTTTATATTTTATCTCAAAGGCCAATTTCTTCTTACCCAATGCTTTTGTTTAGCTCTACTGTCCCAACGACATATAAAACAGGGGAACTTAGTGTAACCACTTTGTTTACCGAGAAGAATGTTCACCATTTTAAAATCGACACAAATTTGCCACTTATGGTCACAGTATTTTATTTTGTTCAAGACTATCAAAATGTTACAATATTCTTTCCTTTAACTTTGTACTGTGTATACCAGCGTATTTATTTCCATTATGTAATAGAATATATTTTAGACTACGTTTTGAGCTATCAATGAATAAACGCCAGACGTTTGGTTCGTATTGTTCCAAGCCCATTTTTAATAACAAATTTTTAATATCTCAATAAAAGGTAGTACCGTTTTCTTCGGAAAAATAACGCGGTAATTCTTTATCTCTTTCACGATAAAAACTTATTTTAGTATCTGAGGAAAGCAAATTTTTTTCTTTCAGTCTTGATGCTAACAATTCTGAAGCTTGTTTAGAAAGATTTAAATCTCTTACAAGATCATCTAACTCATTTTGGGAAAAGCATTTTGGCTCATTTGACATACCTTCCAAATCAGAATCATTTTTTGAGGAGCTTGGTCCTTCAATGTCTTGTTCTAAGGGTTCAGATATATTTTTAAGCACTGAAGAGTCAGGTGAACGCTGCACTAGACTTGAACACAAGTAGTACTTTTGTACTGCCATTTAGCTTAATTTTTAGTGTTTAAACCGTTTACGTTCACGGTACAAAAATAACAGTCTTCGAGATGATTTCGTGGTTCTCGCCAAATAGTCGGTGTTTCAAAATTAAAGGCATTTCTTTTACCACTTTTCCATATTCTTAAATATTCCACACACGATTTACAAACACAATTGGGAGCTCAAGACTTCTCACTTTTATCCAAGAGCATCCCAAAATACTCAAAATAGGTATTTTTCATCAACTCTGATATAACTTTTCTACAATCGTTAAACACATATTCTCCGCATATATAGCAAAACTGATCTGGATTGTTCAAACAACGTCTCCTGGAACTACTTATGATGCAAAAACTTTAGATAATAATCTTAACACAGTAAAATACGCCTGTTATCGATTAATATATACGCTTAAATGATAAAAATCAAAAACAAAGTAACTCGAGCTGCTCAAAAAATTTTGAGGTTAGATTTGTAAAAAATAAGTCATAAGTGAACATTATCAACCACATAATTCGCGGCAACAGACAAAAAGTTAAATTTTGTAAACTAGTGTTATGATTCATTAAACATTTTTAATTATTAATCATTTAGAAACACAAAACAAGAACGTAAACATAGAAAGCCAAAAAAATTAATAAATGTATGACCTAAAATATCCTCTGGCACCCTAATTGTATGATATTAATTGTTTGAGACTATGACTATGATGCTCTAAGTTAATATGGAATAAATATTTTTATAAGCTATTATAACCGTATATTTGTTAGAAACTTTTTTTCATTATTCTAAGAAATAACAAGTTAAACTAAGTATACCACAAAGAAGTTGTACATAATCCAACCAGTTCATGTAAATTAATTATTTTTTCAATTACTCCCTTTATAATTATAAATTGCGTGCGTGCGTGCGTGCGGGCGTGCGTGCGTGCGTGCGTGCGTGCGTGCGTGCGTGCGTGCGTGCGTGCATGCGTGCGTGCGTGCGTGCGTGCGTGCGTGTGCGTACGTGCGTGCGTGCGTGCGTGCGTGCGTGTGCGTACGTGCGTGCATGCGTGCGTGTGTGTATGTGTGTGTGTCTGTATCCACCATAACTCATGAACCGCTACAAAGAAAAACACCAAATTCTAAACTTAAGCTTTATTCCGGCCTGCGGTAAAAAAAAGTCGGAACATTTGGGGGGTACTTTATTGGTGGTCATTTTTATATTTTATGGAATATATCCGTTATTTACGTTTGGCGAAGAAAATTCTTCAACAAAAAGTTACTAACAATGTTATTATCTATAATTTGTGTTTTTTACAAAATTTTCATAAAATGGTCCGTATTCGCGAAATTTGACAAAATGTAAAAAAATTAATTTTTTATAAAAATTGTTCAAATAAAAGTTGTTTATATAATTTTCTATAATTTTTATTTTATACATAATTTCTCTAAAATGAACCGTATTCGAGATATTTGAGAAAATCTGTAAATTTTGAATTTTGAAGAAAACTCAAAAACCCCATAAAGAAAAAAAACATTAAATTTTAAACCTAAGTTTTATTTCGGTTTGAGGTGAAATGATTAGATATTGGACGAAGGCGGAACATCTGGGGGGTACTTTATGGGAGGCCGTTTTTATATTTTATAGAATATATCTGTTATTTACGTCTGGAGAAGAATTTTTTTTAAATAAAAGTAACTTCTAATATTATTTTCTATAATTTTTGTTCAATGCAAAATTTTCCTAAAATGGTCCGTATTCGAGAAATTTTACAAAATGTAATAAATTTTGATATTTAAGAAAATTGTTGAATTAAATGATGTTTGCCATATCGATCTCTATAATTTTTGTTTTTTTTTACACGATTTCTCTAAAATGGACCCTAATGGAAAAATTGGAGGAAAATTATAAAATTTAAATTTTTCAGAATTTTCGAGTTAGATGTATGTGGAAAATGTATATATTAAGTAAACCTTTAAATATTTACAGAGATGCTACAATAGGTTGTACAAAATAACCGAAAAAAACCCGTAATAACTAGATAGGAAAGTCATGTGTTGGACACATCAGATTTTTTCTTTAAGCGTAAAAATAATTCAAGTTATACATAGCAAAAAATAGAAGGCATTTTTTATGTCTCAACTGTTTTATACAAAATTGAAAAAAAAAACAGATATTTCTTACATAAGTATTATCTATTCCTATTTATTAATAGTAATATTAAAGGTGCAGTTTTGTATACTGCAGTTATTTATATTTAAGCCACTGCCACCTCTTTTGGCCTCGACATTTACAATTTTGTCATTGGTATACATGTTATGATTAGTAAGGTGTTTGTCAACATTTATTATGTTAGAAATATTTTAATTTGAAAGGTTTTCTGAATGTATTTCTCTTTGAATTTCAGAACTTGTACTTGGTTGATCTTGCCAGTGAAGTATTTTTTTGTGCCATCCACCGTGTCATTTTAATGCAATAATGTCCCCACCGTTGTTAACTAAAATAGATGCGGAAGTCCTCCGAAAGCAATGTCCTGTATATTCATGAGAATTTGGTAATTTTAAAAACGTAGCGACGTCATTTGGTACGTTTGAAATTTTATGTATACCCATTACCACGCGGTGATATTTACCGTTCTGGTATTTAATAAAAAAATGCTCCAGGTTCATATCCTTCGAACAAAGTGCAGTATATTATTTGATCAAATTCAAATAAAAATCACCAAGTATAGCGAACAACCATGGTTTTTTGTTTTTTGTATTTAAGATATTTAGTAAAATAAAATGTTCCAAGTCTTGGATATCGCTGTACTTTAAATTAACGAGTTTATTAGATCAACAGGCTCCTATGATTCCAATTATGAGTACAACCTGAAAACAAAGTTAAATAAATAAAAAGTCTGCGCTTATATTCGAACCGCCGCGCCGACCTTTGGGGTCGAGGACAGATCCTCTGCCGCTGAGCTATCGCGACATTTGTATTTTATGTTTGTAATTGTTGTCAAGTTAAAATTAGTATAAGGAAGGATATTATTGTCAACGATTTAATAAATATAATAATAATAAAACAAATAATAAAGTACGTACCTTTGTTGCTAAATAAATATCATTTAGTGCATCCTAAAGAAAATTTATTATTTTGGTCTTTTGTCAATATTTTTAATTTTTTCTGTTTATAATTTTCCCCTTGTCGTTTCAAAAATGCCAATAATTTGGTATAATTATTCATATTAACACTATGGCTAATATTTAATACAGTCTTAACCATTGAATATTGTGCCCAAAGTGTTAAACTTTTGAATTTTTTTTTGATAAAATGCGTGAAGTAAGCAATCATTAAGTCACACAAGTAATGTACAATATTTTTCCTACGACCATCAAAAAAATGTAAAACCAAGGTTATTATTACTATAATAATTCAAATGTATTTAAAAAATAATCAACATTAATCGTATTTATTCAGTTTTCATATTTTCTAAACAAAAAAAAAAACTAAAAAAAATAAAAAAAAAAACAAAAAAAAATTCTGCCCCACCAGGATTTGAACGCGGTCGAAAAATGGCAAAGTTAATAAGTTCGACGTCCTAACCACCTGAGCTAATAGCCCTTGTGTCAATTGAATGATCTAATCGGTTATGTATTTCACCAGAATAAAGAACAAACATTATTTTAAAATTATTTTAATATTAATTGTTAAAGATAAATATCTAGGATCTACTTTACAACAATTTCAATAATTTAACAATCATATCGATTTTAGTATTAATATGGACATTACATAGATCAAAATAGAAATTAGGTGTTTGACATTTTGTGACAACTACTGCGGAAAGTAACATATTCTCACTCGGGTGGAAAGTAAATTCTTATTCAGACGCGTGTGATATAGAGCACTTTCCATAGGACTACATAGTGTGATATGTGTCACTTTCCTAAGTGGTCGTAGGAAAAAAATTTTTCATATGCAAAATCATACACTTTGCGCGACTTCGTTGGAATTAGTGTTTCAATACTGGAATTAGCTATTTCTACTAATTCCGGAGGCGTACATTGCAATTCTATTCAAAACAGACAAACGTCAAATTAAATAAGTTTAAAAATGACAGTTTAAAAATGACCTACTCGATTACATCGCCTCATGCAAGCGTTTCTCATTATTATTTTACTAGTAAAATAAAGAAAATTTATTTTGGTACTAGTACGATCTGTGTTGCAAAAAGTAATTTAATAATTATACGCTTGAAGAAAAAATGATTTTTAAAATTATATTTTCTTAAAAACCTTTTGAATTTTAAATGGATTTTTATTAAGAATTACTAAATATATAAACTTTCTTTCTATACTTCTTTCTTGAATATTCCATTTTTCCTTAACTAAGAAATGTTGGTATTAATTTTCTTTTTTTTTTACAGAGCCGATTACGAAAATCCTCGGCAGTCCAGAGTTGTTCATAAATATGGGTTCGACAATTAATCTGACTTGCATAGTGCAATACGCTCCGGAACCGCCCCCCAACATTGTCTGGTCGCAGAATTCCGAGGTGATCAATTTCGATTCGCCCCGGGGAGGCATCAGTCTCGTCACAGAGAAGGGATTCATCACGACGAGTCGATTACTAATCCAAAAAGCCGGCCAGGGTGATTCCGGTCTTTACACTTGTACACCGTCCAACGCTAACGCCGCCAGTGTCCGGGTTCATATTCTAAATGGTGAGTACTTGTAGCAGAATACAAAAATATAATACTATACACCTTATATGTTTAGCACTATTAATCTGCTCTATTGTAAATTCATATAGTTTTAAAAATAAACAAATTATTTATAACGTTCCGATGTAGCGTTTACTACAAATGAGTTTACATTGAGCAAGGTTAAAAAATAAAAACTCCTTGGGGTCCTATAAAATACCTATGTTTATCTTGAAAAGATTATATTGATCCTTTAACCTTTTTACTCAACCTCTATTAATTTTACTAATGAAAAATTTTCAAATATGTTTGAAGCAAAAAAAATTCCAGTCCTTAAGAAAAACTACCAAATGTCTATAAAACTTTAGACCGATAACCAATAATTTTCGTTTTTCTAAAGTTTTTGAATATTGCTTTTTGGATAGATTATTCATAATTATTAATAGAATAAATGCGCTGTAAAATAATCAACATACTTTCAAAATATAAAAGTCCACTGCTACAGCATTTTATACATTTTATAACAATTTAAATAGATGAGGGCAGATGTAATAAGCACATTTTGTGTCCCGAGTAGCGCTTTTGACAATGTTGATCATATGATATTAATTTCTAGAACTCCAATTAAAAGAAAACAGTTCAATAAGAATTTAAATAGATTTGGGACTCCCATAAAACTACTCGCGTATCGGGGATAACACCAATGATTTGTAGTGCGCATGTCGTACGCGTTTTATTTGTACATCGGTCTCCTTTTGACAAAGTAGATGAGCTGTGTCAAGGCCGTTGGTGTTTATGCCGGTCGACGTAGCCAGGTATGGATTGAAGTTTTCTGCCGTACGCCTCGGGTTTCTAACTGTCTATCTCAAGTATAAATTTTTGCTTTTATTACACAAATAGCTATTTTGATACCAAAAAATATCTTTGGTTTTTAAAGCTTATTGAAGAAACTAAACAAAAATCTCTTATTCGTGTTGACATTAACAGCTTTAAATAATTTTAATCACACAAACCACTAGTTGGTTTTTAAACTAAAGTCAATCTATAAAGAACTAAGAAAAAAAAATTAAATTTATGCTTAAAAAAATGAAACTCACTTAATCTTCTTACTATTTATTCAAGTCTACATCTATATTGCTATCAAAATATTAATCCTGCTCTGTACTTGTACTTTTAGTAACTGATATTTCAGCCGTTTATCAATATCAAAGTAAACGTTTTGGTTAGCAGGTGATATGCATTGCATAATATTTTCTAAATCTTCCACTTTTTTGCAGTTAACCTCTACAGACATGTCGTATTTTCTTTTCAATTTTTTTATAATTTCATTGAATTGTAAGCAAAGATTGTTACCTATTTTCTAACATATTTTTTTTTTAAATTTCCGTTTAGCTCATGTTTTAGTAACATCGTATTAGAATTTTAAGACTCAAAGCAGAAAAATAGTACTAAAGCCGACTGAGCTTGTGTGGGGGAAGGAACGGTTATTATTATTATTATTTACCGTGGTGTTCCAGGGCGACCTAAAGATGATTGATGGTGCCATTTAACTTACATATAAGGAATCCCCGAGAAAACCTAATCTACCATCATAGTTTTTTTTTCATCTTTTGTCGCTATAGGAATACGACATCAAAAACAATAACAACAACAAAAACAACAACAACAACACAACAACAACACAAAAAAAAACAGCAACAACAACAATATCGAATAGATTGCTCTTCTGCTTATTTTTGTACCAGTCGTCAGGACAATAAATCTCTCTTAGATACGTCTTGTGCTTCTCTATAAAAGCACAATCCTAATCATCGGGTAGATAGGTATGGCTGGAGATAATAAACCTATAGACCTACATTTTTTCTTTGTTGAGTTGCAACCACACTGTCCACCGCACTTATTTGTAAAAATTACAAGGTCCTTTTCATCAATTGCATCTTTGGTGAAATGATATTTAAGTAAGTTACTAATGATCTTCACTATCTCGGTTAGCGGTGGTTTTTGTCGATTTTAACATGATCACATGGTTGCTTTTCAGGTAACGCAGTCAATGACTCTAAGATTAGAGATCAAAGCTTTACGCAAATAAAAATCAGAACCAACAGTTAAGTTCTGGGTAGGCAGTGTTTGTTGCAAGTCAAAAGTAATTACTCTAGTAAAATATTGATAATTTATTTTTCTGGACGATTTTTGCCTTTGTTTCTTTTTATTATAGAAACGTTTTTTTTTTGTATGGCTCTACCTGAACCTATTTATGTTTTGTTCTTTATAGTTACCCAAATTTCAAAAAGCATTTAAATTACCCTCTTCATTTTCACCCAATTTTTTTTTGGCGTTTGCGCAGATGACCTGTCTTCCTATCATATAAATTTTTCCCTTAACTACTGTTACCCATATTTCGCTTAATTTTGGTATTTTTTTTTCCTTTATTAAATATTTAATTTTCACCACTAAGCTGGTATTGCCTTATCAGGTGTTTCTAGAACACCACTTGACACATTAGCTTCACCATCTTGTGATTCGCCAGCTGACTCAAATAGGAAAAAATTCCAGAGATCCTATACCGCCGAGATTCCACTCGAGCAGAGCTGTGTTTTTATAAATAGTGCAATTTTGGTAGTAAACGTTAAGTTTCAATATAATTGTTATCAAGTAAAAATAAATTGTAAAATAAATAAATTAGAAAGTGTGAATTATAATAGTGATTGTGTATTATAAATAAATAAATAATAATAGAATAAATAAACAAACTGTTTTAAATAAATTAACCATTTTTAAATTTAACAGTCGTTACAATACTTATTTAAATAAAAAATATTGTACAAAAACAATAATAATACTTGTAAAGTAACTAGTTGATTTGCCGCAGCCAGAAAGGGTACTTTCTTAAGCAATAATTCGTTACAATAATCTCAGTTTTTAAAAAAATATGGCTCGTGGACTTTGTTACCCCAAGCACTTTATATTATCTTATTTTGACTTATTTTTTTATGTTTCTATTGTATCTTGCCTGAAATTTTTAAAGGGCCTCTGCATATCACAATAAATGATGATATGTAGGCCCCCCCGTATAGGGAAAGTATTATTATCAGCTTATCCCATTTATATTTACATATTATTATACAAATACAATTCTCTTTGTTTTTAACATATGTTCTAGAACTTTTCTTTTGTTTCCTATACAAAATGTGCAACCCCTCCTGTGATTTGTTTGGGTAGCGGGTAGATTTTAGACAGTCGGAGACAGAGTTCTTTGGAAATAAAACTTTACTCTATCAATTTATGTACAGATAACAATATTTACAATATGTACATGAAAAGGTTCTGGCTAAATTTCATTTCGTCGTATCTTTAAATTTTGTTCCCCAGAAAATATTTCGTGCGCCGAAGATGAGACAAGAGCTTAAGTTACCTTTACGGTGATGGAAGTCCCTTGAAGTCAGTACCTTCTTGGGAGAGATTCACGGGGAAGGAAATCTTGGAGTCAATACCTTTACAAGTAATGGTCGGGACGTCGGGAAGCCTACAGAGTCAATACCTCTGCAGGAGCAGAAGAGGAGCGTCTTGCTAAGTCATTACCTTAGTTCGACTGATGAAAATTAAATTCGGAAATCTTTATATACTTGTCTCTGCTTGACAAAACGGCTGCATGCTGAACCATGGCGTCCCTAGAACAGTGTTACTATGGAACATCGTTACAAATGTATATTTAATTTATTTGGATATTTAGTATAATATGCAACGCCACTGGCTTGTGTGGAGAACCTACAAAATTTTATTGTTAATTCTCACCTATATTACGTAAACAGAGTAGGATTTATAGTTGGTTTTTGTTTATAATTAACCAGGGGTAATTTATCATTCCTTTTTATAGGTGTATGCAATGTTCAGAAAAGCTATTAAAAAGATACTCTTAGTTTAAGAGACACTATATAAAATACTTTATGGCGTCATTATAAAAGTTTTAAAGAGAGTGTATAGATAAACACTAAGAATAAAACTTAATTTTTGCTTACTTACTTCCAAAACTGAATACTAGTTTTTAAATTAGAATTATTTTTTTGTTTTGCTTTAATTCTAATACAAAACTTTTAGCTTAGAATGCAGATTGGCTACAAAAATACAGATTTTTTTATTTTAAATAATATTATCGAGACGTATTAAATCTTTATAAGTTAACATATGCTATTCAAAAATAGCTGAGATTTTTATTAAATTTTAGTCACATTCTATATTACAATTTTTAAAATTTGTTCGTAAAAAAAACTGTATGACTGAATATTTTGTGACATACATCTGGCTCCTCTCTTTCTTTTTTACCTGTTATAAATAACTATACATCATTCTGTTGTTTAAGTAGAATTACTTTTTAAATGATATTTTAGTTTTTTTTAGTCTCTTTTTTAATATTTTGGCATTTTTCACTATATGCTTAGGGTAGATTAGGTTAAAGCACTTTATTTTATCTCTAATAAATTAAAACTTATTAGGTCAATTAATTTGTTACTGCACAAACATATCCTATCTTGCAGGTGATATTACGAAATTAAATCAGCTACACAAACACTTATGGTGGTTGAACTTAAATTTAATATGCTTTGGGCAAGAGAAATTACTTTCTGCAACCAAGCATGGGCGTTAGTTGAATGTTTTTTTAAAGGGTTTATAATATTATTTTGTTATGTCTTTTAGCAAAATATAAAACATAGCTGACGTAACATTTGTGGAAAAAGATATGAAATTTATCAAGAAAAGTTATCCCATCTATCACAGTCATTGGAAATATTCACAAACTTGGAGACAAATAAATGTGATTCTATATTAATAATAGTATTTGAGTTCAAATAGACTTTACCACACTGTCATTTTTTTAATACCAAAAATAAAGGTTTCATTTTTTTTGTTTTGCAATAATATTTAAAAACAGAAGAAAAAGCAATCTAATTGGAACAATAAAATAAAATGCCGGAGATCAGGTGACGAAAATTTCAATGAAATCATCGCCTTTGTTTTTTATTTTGATAGTAGCATTAAAAACTAAATTAAATTATAATTATTGTAGTATGACCTAAAAAAAATCATTTTACTATAAAACATAGAAGCATTTTAGGAAATTATCGAAAAACATTCAATAATGCCATGAAGTCTCTTCCTACTACCTCAAATATTGATTTACTTAACTTTAAAAACTATCCTACCCCGTGTAGTTCTTTTCTTATGCACCCAGTTACTGAATGAATACGATAAATGCCTTAGAGGACTCAAACAGTATGGATACTCATAAGAAAAATGGACAAATTATAAACAAATCAACTGAATTAATTTTGGTACCACTAACCAATCTTGTAAACGTAATCTTCCAGATGTTTCCAAATACTCAAAAGTTATTCCGCTACTAAAAAAAAGAGATAGCTCTGCTCCTGATAACTATAGGCCAATTTCTTAATGTTGTTAGTACCAAAGTTGGGGGCCTAGAAAGAGGTGAACACACTGCAATTACGCTATGTGATCTTTCGAAAACCTTTGAGTGTATCTTTCACGACATTCTGTTGAAAAAACTAAATTATTATGGAATTAGAGGTTGTATATTTTAATAATACCCCATCTAATTTTAAAATGGTCGTCATAGAGTGCCACAAGGACCTGCCCTTGGGCCTCTAATGTTCATTATATACGTGAACGATCTAATTAAATATATGTACCCTTGCAAAAATATTACTTTTGCCGACGATATGACTTTTATCTCAACTGAAAAAGATTAATCTTGTGTATCAAATTTTACTAAGAGTAGTATTAAATTGTCACAAAAAAATGATACAAAAACTCGAAAACCTCAAAAAGTTTCGATCTGGTAGTTCATCATCGGAACTTGACAGTGCGAAATTGTTAGGAATAAAACTTAAAAGTAATCTTTCATTTCAGTTCATGCCATATCAATATAATTGCTAAAAGATTTTCCAGTTAGTTGTTTTTACTTCGGCGTTTGACTTTAGTTACCAATTTTCGATGTTTAAAAATGGTATATTTTTTATTGTTTTATTCTCAGATAGGTTACGGAATTATTCTTTGGAGCAATTGATTAGACGAAATTAAATTATTTCGTATGCAAAAGAAAGTTTTAAGAATCTTAGCGAGTGTTGGGTTCCGTAAGCACTGTCAACCACTTTTAAAAAATTTGTTATTATGACATTACCGTCACCATATATTTTTAATACAGTTCTCAAAATTCACAAAAATAGTGCAAATCTACTGAAGCAGTCTTATTTTTACCATTATAATACCAGACAAGCTGGAAATCTAAGGAAACCAAAATTTTAATTATATAAATCGCAAAAAAATTTACTGAACTTTAACTTATAT